TGGGTACAAGTGATAACGATGGTATTATATTAACAGTGATGGTAATAACAATATGATGATAATGATATGAGTTCAAGTGATAACAAAAATAACAATAATGATGGTAATGATGATGATTTCAAACAACAGATGGTATTATGGTTACAATAATAATGATAACAATGATGATGATAATGATAACGCTAAAGGTTCAAAATGATAGCAATAGTATTATGATAATGATAATCACGATACTAGAAATCCAAATGATAACAAAAGTTATATGTTAATAATAGTATGATGTCATTAACTTGAATAATAACAATAGCATGACAATAATGATAAAGATTCACGCTAATGATATTATTGATAACACTATGCAGTAGTTATAGTAGTAGTAAATAGCAATTAAATAGTGGATAACTATTGCTTAGGAAAATTGTCTTTGTCAAAACTGGCTATTAACAACATTTCCAACTTCTTTTAACCATTTTGAATTCCACATCAAAAAACTCATCGATGTACTTTTCTTTTTAAATCTTAGTTTTTTGTTTTTGCCATGTTTATTATATTACTGTAGAATTGATAGAGTAGTTGAAGGACAAATGAAGGATACAAAATGCATGTTATTTCATTCTTTTTTTTTTTTCTTTTTGCCTCTCTAAAAATATAAAAATGACTTAACATAAATGTAAATTTGTTGATTTTAAATTTATTTTACTGATTGCTATCAATTCAAAGTACCATTCAATCATTTCCTCATTTCTTTTTGTTTTTCTGATACTCAAACTAACAACAATGCTTAATTTCATCTAAAAACATGAAAAACAAAGCAAAACAAAAAAATAACAAATATTATCCGCCGTTTTCATTTCATTTTTTTTTTTTTTCAAAAACATTTTAAGAAAAATTAATTTTATCTTATCGATCCTTTTCCTCTTATTTTTTTAAAAAAAAAATATTTTAGGGAAAAATAATGTTAGAAGTCTTATAGAAACCAGAATAAATGAGGTTAATCAAATAATCGCATTATTAATCGAAAAAGTTAATTTAATTATTAACAAATAACATTAACTTAATATGCCAATTGTAATATCACTTAAGTATACTACAAAGTGCTGCTGATCTTGATTATAATAGTAATTAAAATTACTATAAATATATCCAATTTTCATTATTTAATTTCATATTTCTTACTTTTTATTATATTCCCTCATTTAATTATCTACGAAAAATTTTTGAGGTAACATTTTTTTGAAATAACTTTCTGCCCAAATAATTACACAATTCATACTTGCTAATAAATTTAAAAAAATCTGTGTATATGTTTTCATCTAAAACAATAAAATTTTTAACGGATTTAATAAAAATATGATACAATTAGCAACTTCTTTTATCATTGAAAATTAATTTAAAAAAAAAAAACATTTAAAAAAAATTTGTTTTTTTTTTTGGAGGAAGAAAATATTTTTAAATAATCAATGAAAAATTGCTATTTCTGAATATTAATATATTAACATTTTTGTTGCTTTGTTCATGCAAAACATTTGTTTATTCATAATTCCAAGAGTGTTTTTATCATTGTTATTATCATTATTTGTTAATTATTATTACTATTATTATTATTGTTATTATTATTGCTATTATTATATTATTAATATTATTATTATTGTTATTAATATTTCATTGTTGTTACAATTATTATTTATTAATTATTCTTATTGCAAGTTAAATTTGTTATTCTCTTTATCTTTTAGCGTTATTTGATGTTAAATGCATTCTATTTTTTACTTTGATAATTAATTTCAAAATTAAAATTGGTGCTTTTCTTCTGCTCTTGATTCCATCGCTTCATTTTCATATCTTTTCGTTTTCTTTTAATTGAAAACTAAACGAAAATCTGTCAAATTTCAGAAAACGGAAGGAAAACGAAAATAACTAAAATAAGGCTAAATTTTTTCTTTTTCTTCATATTTCTTTGTTGAATAAGAAAAAAAAAAAGTGAACTAGGAACTAGAAAGATAAACTTAAAAACATAAATGAATTCATGAATGTTTGAGAAAGAAGAGAAGAATTTCAACCTTCAATTTCAAATTTTGATGTAACAGATTTTATCAGCATTTAAAAAAAAGCTAACAAAAATTTTTCACTACAAACGATTTGTCAAACAATAAGTGCAGGATATTAAAGAATTGAGAATTTTAATTTAAAATTTTTTATATTTTTAAATTTTATAATCATGTTACAATCAAATTTATAAAATATAATAATCTCAAATATATTGCTAATCATAATTCAAAGCTAACGTATTTTATGTGCAAAAATTTGCCATTTTTTTAACCATTCACACTTAATTACTGAACATTTTTATAATCAATTCAAAGTTTTATAATATTTTTGCAACTAATTTTAATGAGCTTTTGAAAACTTCCATAATTTTATAAAGTTTAAAATGTATGCGCTAGCAAAAATGAATATCACGAAAGCTTCTATCATTTGCACTTAATTCTTATCCTTTTGAACAAAATAACAATTAAATTAAAATGATAAGGATAAATCATACTAATTAGTTCAGTTCTAATTTTAGCTTGGATGTACATTTGTAATTACTATAATATACTAAATAATTCAACTATCGTTCTTAATCATATTAATTCAAAATTTCATCAGACATTGCTTAGTATTAATCTGCAATTAATTTGTTTTGTTAAATAAATTAAATCACCTAATTTAGTGACTTAATTTATTTGGTGGTAACCTATATTTATTTGTAGAAGGAAAGAAAACAAATAAATAATTAAACTCAAGTTATATAAATGCAAGTGCTGAAGTACCTAATAGTTTAACTTATTCACAAACTAGTTATTTTCATTTATAAAGTTCGTTTTCTTTTTGACACTCTTAGATAGAAACAACTATTGAAACAAATCTAAAACAAAAAGCCAACAGAACAGAGGTATTGATCATTTGATAAATAACAAATTGAAATTTGCATAATCTTTATTGGATCCGTTATGACTTCCATATGATGCTACTAATTTTGATTGCATGCATTGATTTAACTTACCTTGTTAATTAAATCTAGGAGATAAAGTTATATTATATGTGGTCTATCTGAAATTAGAATCACATATTTTTTTAATATAATTCGTAAAATCTAGAAAAAAAAGATACCACATTTTATTCAAATAATTATTATACTAACATTTATCAACTAATAACATATCCAATCCAAAAAAGGTGACAACTGCATGAAATGAAATTTGTATCAATTTTAAAATGCAACATATTATAGTAGTAAGGAAATAAATTAAACAAACAATTTTGAGCAAATCCTGAGAAAGAATTAGATGAAAATTTGAACGAGCGGAAACAAACAAGTTATATCAAAAATTTATGAATTGAAGAATATTAAAAGTAATAAAAATACTATCACAATTCAAAACAAAAAAAAAAAGCATTCTGTAATGCTATTTATTATTAACAATATATGCTTATAAATATTGTTTACTATCCATTTATATTTCCATTTTCGAATAATGGAAATGATATCATAGAATTCACCTAATTTCTCACTTTTACAGTAAAACATCTATTTGATAATAAACAACTAATATCGACTTTATATTTATCCCACTGATTAAATAAGGAAAGAATGTACAGAGAAGAAAATCAAATAAAAGAAAAATTAAATTCATTTTTATTTAAGCTACAACTTTGTTGTTGCATTTTGATAACAGGAAATGCATATACATAAAACTTATAGAAAGTGTTCAATGATTTCATTGATTTGAAGTTAATTACTGATTAATTTTTCACCAAGTCTTTTCATTTAGCTTTCAAATTGTAGATTAAATGTTAAATTTGAGTTATCTCTACACAAATACCTATTATATAAATAATTAATTAGGATTTTTAGATTATATACAAATATATAATAGTTTTATAGTTCAACTATCTTGTACAATATCGTTTAAATATTTTCTGTTTAAATAAAATTTAGTGTTTTTTTATCAAAAATGGCATAAAAATATTTTTCCTTTTTTTGGTAACGATCCCCTAATTCTATTTATAAATTCAGCGAACAATTTATGGACATTTTTAATGTTGACAATTTAAAATGCTGTATTTAAAATCCTCAAAATATAAAAATCCTTCCTTTAATTATTTTTCTCTCTCTTTTTTTCATTTACTTTGCCCAAATATATTTACAAATTAAAAACAAGAATACTTTTTACATCAGTAGCATAGTTATGCACTTTGATCAAAATTGAAATTAAAAAAAAAAATATCATTTCGTTTTTGTTGCAATCTATATAAAAGACAATAGGATTAAGTCATGTTTTCCCTCCTGCATAAAAAAGGAAACAAAGAAAAGAAATGCCATCCTGTATTGGTAATAAATTAAACATTTTAAATTGTCAACATTATCAAGCATGAAAAAAAATTGTTGACCCAACTGGTGCAAAAAAAAAGTATATAACGATAGTAAACTTTAATTTGAGCGCAATTTAGTTCGATAAAATTTAAAATAAAAAAGAAAAAAGTGTACAAAAATTAAAATCTGGATTAAAAGCATGAGTTACGTAGCGAATTTTAATAATAATTAAATAAAATCATCATTTTTGCAAGCGAAAAGACAAACAATTAGCTTTTGCATCAAATATATTTATACATGCACCACTTTTCTCATATTGTAGAGCAAAAATGAAAAAAAAAAGAACATTATCAAAAATGGAATGAACTCAAATTGCCACAAAATTAAAAAGAAAAACTAATGCTTCACAGCAGAAATTAATATGACTGCAAATGTATTTTGTGTTGTAAAATATATTTAAAAGATTGTTTCTTTTCTCAAAAATGATATATTTCTCGAAAATGTTAAAATAAAAAATTTTTAAATTCATTCTTTTTTTTGTGGGCTAAATTTCAACTGGAAATATTACCAAAATAACAGTTAAATTCTAATAAAGATGATAATCAAACGGAAAACAAAAACTAATCCTATAAATGATTTGTTCCTAGGAAGAAATAAGCAAATTCCGTGGTACTTGATGTATGTCAGCTTCTGTTGTTACAGTAATCGAACAACCATCCGTATCTAAGATCGTTTTTCCCGTATCTCGAGAAATATTAACACTATAATGAATTAAAAATGTTTAAAACTATTCCTTCTGTTGTTATCAAACAAATTACCAGCAATTAGATGAATAATAAGAAATAGAAAATTTTGTAATGCAAGATTATTTTTAAAGAAAGAAAAAAAACACGAAATAATCACTGAAAAGTATTGAGCGACAAATAATAATAAGTTTGTAAAAAGTGATATTTATTAATATAGTATGTTTAAAATACGAACAAACCGTACAAAATAATATATATAACTTTCTCGTAATGCTTCTGTAGATATTTCCAAATCTATTTTAATACTATGATATCATTTAGGTGCAATTACTTTGCTTCTACCGACTATTGCTAACATTAGCTTTGTTACTTATAAGTTTCGTAAATTAATATTGAGAAACCAGAAACTCCTTTTTTTCCAAAAAAAAAAATTTCCATTTCAAATGATACAAAAAAACAACATATCTAAGATCTGAAAAAGTGAGAAAACTATCAACAATAATGTTAGAATCATTTAAGCTTTCATAACACTTTCACTACGCAGCACATAATGTAATGAGGTTCTTTTAATTTCTTACACAGCAATATGATTTTGTCAATATTTACTACAGTTTAAGTAAGTTAGCTAGATCATATCAACATTATATAGTACTTTGTTTGATGTAAGTTAAAGAACCCAATAATGCTCCAGAAAAAAAATTGTTATCTTTCGATTTCTCATTACATTGAAAAAATACAACATATGATAACATAATATATAACTTAAAAAAGAGAAAAAGAACCAAAACTAACTTGCTAGTGGCGCATTCACTTTCATCACCTTGCATACGATCAGTCATTGTAGAATAACCCTGATCGCTTGATTCAGTTCGTGGCGAAACTCGATATTGCGGACGGACAGCTGCTAGTGGATTTGACATCCTTTCAAATGACGTCAGTTGGATCAAAGCAACTGCTTTTTCTAAAATTATACTTTCATAGCATAACCGCTCTCCCATTTTGTCAATTTTTCTAAGCCAATTACCCGGTTAATTTGAGTTTCAACCAACGGAAATAAATAAATTAGAGTAATAGAAATATTAATACCTTTTACGGATCCAGAAATATCATGGTCAAGCTGAAAATCATCATCCTCAAAATTTCTCCCGCATAATGGCGCACCATATGAATCCGTAAGCGAATTTGCTTCTACCAAACGATTAACCTGACTTCGATAACAATATACAGCCATAACCTGAAAATAAAATTTTCAACTCTTATATATGTTTTTGTTATTAAAAACTGAGCATAACTAATTATTTCACTAGTAATTTAGAATATGTAGATTACTGCCGATTCTCTTAAAATATTTAAAACTTATGCAGCATAGACTGAATTCACCAATAAAAAATAAAAGGTAAGCTGAAAAGTTAATGAAACAAAAGTCATACCATAATCAAGAAAACACTCATTATTCCAGCAGCAACTGGTCCAACTGGTGCACTAACCGACCATTGTGGAGCTAACTGTGACTCACTTTCCAAGAAACCTGAATACAAGAAAACCATAAAAATTTTTGCCATTCAGAATCTAAAATAGCAAAGTCAATTCGTTGATAATAGCTTAAAATAAAAAAGCACCTCGAATACGTCTTCCTTTTGTACCACCAAAGCATTGATCAGCGAAGACGCAAGAAGGATTAAGAAGAAGCGTTTGCCCATCACTATCAAACGCACACCATTGACATCCCAGCACACCCAAACAATCATCTACCGTTTTATAATTTTCGCATCTGCAATTATTTCACAAATATATATCAAATAAATCTGATTTTGTTCAGAAATTTAATAATTCCACAAGCATTAAAACTAAACGTTTTATTATATATTATAATACTACTTTGTTTTTCATTTATATGAACTCAAAAAACCAAATAATAGACTAAATATTATTTGAAATTCTTAATAAAACTTAAAGAAACAGTACTTGATATTGATACACTCTGATAGTACAGTTTTCTGCAATGGCCTAGCACCGAATGGAATAATTGTAGCTATTACCGGACATTCCTCTAAGCCTGAACATTCCACATTTGGTACAAAAGAGGTTTTCTGAAAATGAACAAAATAAATCGCTTCTTATAAATGACATTTTGTTGTTAATCTAAATGAATGGTGTTTGACTTTAATTCTTACTTGCTGCCTACTAAAACATTAGTTAAAAATCCGATGCTTCCTGAAGCTTTCAATACAAATTATAATAAATATCAATCCATAATAAACTAATTAATAATACTACAATCAACATTATAAATATACGATATATTGTTCATCTTAGATAACAAATTACCGGATAAAGTGAAGCATTTGATGAACTCAGTGAACATTGTGTATTACAGTTTAATGGACACTGACATGGACATTCACATTCTGCAACATCGAAACGAGTGCAAAGGAGACAACGACGATCACTAACTGAACATGGACAAAATGCCTGAAATATGGAAAGTCATATCTAAAACTAAAAAATCATTGATGAAGTAGCAGAATGTTAGAAACGAGTTTTAAAAATCTTTAGCAATCGAAAAAATTAAATATAGGTAGATGTTTTGCATAAAAATGAACAAAATGATAATTTATGGAATTTGAAGAAAAATAATTTCACTGAGAAAATTGCTTTCATGTGAAATATTACAAAAGATCACAAATATGATTCATCCGTAGACAAGACAGAAATGTAAAAAAAAAAAAAAAAAAAAGAAAAAAGATATATGATTGATAATACTTGGATAGGATGCTGTGGATCACAACTTTCATTTATAAGAGCAAGAAACAAATTTGTTTGTGGCACCGGAATCACTTCTGCACGAATACTTCCTAATTTCATACCAGGTAATGAGCTGATATCATCACATGGAATCTGAAGATACAATTGATCATTAGTTAAAGCAGCAAAATCTATTTTTTTTACTACAACATTTGTTTGCTAACAAAATTTGACTAACCGATTTACATATTTAAAAATAAATGAAAACAAGAATAAAAATAAAGAGAGAAAAAAACATTTGAAGAAAAATTTACCGTTAAAGCATCAGAATATGAAATATTGAATCGAAAGAAACGTTCAATTGAACGAGTAGCCCACTGCATACACTGCTTTTTTTGAACAAATTTTGTTTTTGTAATTAAATATGTTGCAAGTTGAGGCTCTAGATAACTGATATGGAAACGTTCGACGGCATTCCAGGAAACGCTCCTTCCATACGATCGAGTTTTTTTACTGGAGACACTCGTTTCTATTCCACGTGAAATCACATTACCTAAGTCATCGAACAAAACACAACGTCGTGACTGAAAATCATCAAAAACTGAAAGGTTATAGTTAGTTCAAACGTGTTGCTATGTTTGCCTTTTTAAAACACACATAAGTCTTCCGAATTTTATTTAATTATATAATCCTTAAAGATGATTATGATAGGAGTTAGGGTAACGAGAAAAAATAAACCTCTCTACAAACATTAATTGCACTTCGCAGCAATTTTGAAAAAAATCCCACGGTTACATCCATCGCAACGACAGCAAAAACTTGGTCTTTGGAATTGTGCATACTTCCAGCTTGACCTAAAAAAAAATATTAATGGAAAAAACTCTAATTATAAGTGCTTGAAAACAAAAACGACAATTTCTAAAGACTAAAAATTCTGCTATAAAATTGCCTTCGAAAACAGCAGTTGAAATTGTTACAACTTGTCCTACATTATCTTCCAAAAATGGTCCTGTCACAACGATTCTTCCGGGAAATTCATTGGCACGCACATACCTAAACAAAAATGAAGTAAAGGAGGAAAAAAAGTAAATTATATCCATAAAATGGCTGCTGATTCGTTTTAAACTTACATCAAAGCAAAAATCATTAACAAGAATTAGAATCCTCGAAATAAAATTCACAGAGTTATAGCATGAAAGATTCCTTTTTGCACTAACTAAACTACTTAGAAGTTCATTTACAAATATTGACACAAAATTCAAAGCCTTTTAAAATATTAAAATAATATTAATTTTTGGTATCTTAAATGCCAATTCTAATCAAAATTTAAAAATTTGCATCAAGTTAAACAAATCAGTATACTTGATGAGATTTAATGATCGAAATTCTAAATGTGAAAATGGTGGAAGAAATTAACTAACCATAGTTGCAAATCAGGTTCATAATTGTCGCGAATTACGGTTGCCGGATAAGTTATCATAACACCTCGTGATGTAGCTATATAACGTCGTAAGACAAATTCATGTGAATCACTGGCTGTTTTATCACGCCAGTGTGGTATGATACCAGATAGTGCACCAACATGTTCACGAACACTCAATCGAATACCAGTATTTCGAATTAATCCGAACGGATCACCTCAAAAAATACATTTACTAAAAACTGAAATTTAGCTATAACAGGTATCTAAACAACTTTTGTTGATGCAAACGCGAACACTTACCTAATAGCATGTTTTCTTCCACACATGCATAGAATCATTTTTTTTTTCTTAACATCATTTTATTTTGTTCTATATGACGTGAAAATTATAACAAAATGAAAAAGATTTATAAAAAATACCTAAGTATACCCAATAATTTGCAATCCACTGCGGAGAAGGAGGACGTTGTAATGAAGAAACAGTAAAACAGCTTGGGCTTAAGTAAACACCGCCTAATTTCATAGTAGAAAGATAGCCAAAGTGTGAGCAATAGTAAAGTGATGAATCTCTCTGAAATAAAATTACTTAAATATTGTATGAAAGTAGAAATTCAAGTAAAAGTCTTTCCAAGAATATGTTAAATTTAATAAATTAAAAAACCTGAATATCAAGACGATGGTAAACAAGATTATCCAACAAATATTCCCGTTTTGAATTTTTTAAAAGCATAGAAATCTTGGGCTCTATTTCGTCCACTTTAATTGCCATAGCAACAACATATGGTGCATTCTTCAGCTGAAAAATAGTCTGATAGAAGTAAATTTATGCAAAATACTTATATGATTTTATATTTATATTAAGTTATTTAATGCATGATATTTTAAATTAATAAAGCATGATATTGAAAGCAAGTATTTCATGATGTAAGGAAGAGGATATAAAGAGAGATAAAAAAATTTTTTATTAAGTAACTAAATCGATTAAGTCGATTCCATCTCTCACGACTGTCTTTTTTTTTTATCCTTTATACACTTTATTAAAAAATATTCTAGAAATCTTTTAGCATAGGCCACTTCTCTTGCCTTATTAAAAAAAAAACTGAATTACTAATGTTATAAGGTTGATGATTTCCTATCAACTTTATTGTTACTTATAATTCTAGTTAAAGTTTAAGTTATTTGTATCAAACTTCTACTAAAAAATAAAATTTGCAGCAAAATTCTCGCTAAAATAACAGATAATAAAAAGGGTACCCGCATCCACGTATATTTTAATTTCACTTTCTCCACCATTTCCTCCTTTACAATTTCGAATGAACCTTCGCTGATTTCTTCCATTGAGAAATGGTCACTAAGCCAGAAATCTTTTTCTGACCAAGTTTCCAACGTACCAATATGCAAAGGCCATGGTGATGTTTTACGCATATGAGAAGCGATGATAACGCGACTAAACATTTTCAATTTCATAATGCCAAAATGCTTTGAAATTTCTTAAAATACTACTACCAAAAAAAATCTGAGTACGAAAAAAAAAGACACATAGTTTAACCTTCATAGCAACCTTACATATATCAAATCATAACTCTCTCATAATATTTCTGTTTACAAAATTTTTTTCCGCTCCTTTTGTTCATCATTTCCGATCTTTCCAAAATGTAGTAATAAAAAATATAACTTATCAATTTCGCTTTCTTCTTTACTTTTTCTAAGAGATCTTAAACTGTATAAATCATTTCTTTGAAAAGAAAACATAAAAAGAAAAAGAAAATAAGAAAATCACCCTTGCAGATCACAAAGAAAAATTCGTAATCTAGTTTTTGCTGGTGCCATAACTACTAAATCATTATATTTGATAACATCAGCAATTATATCCAAATTCAAATCCATGCCAACCACAGCCTCCTAGAAAATTTCGTCCTTATTTGGCAGATTAAAAAGAAAAACTTTCTTTTTTTGAAAATCAACTTAGAATCATGAATGTTATATACGATATAGTCGTACCAATTTATTATCTTTCTGTATGCTGGTTGATAGAGAAACTAATGTTGCCTGATACTCGCTATAAGGATACGACCAAAATAATTCTCCGTTTGATGAATGAGTTAGCAGTTTCTTATGATTAACAGTGGAAAGAAGTTCAAACATTTGGAGCAATGTTAATGTTGCATGTTCATTAGTTCCAATTGAAATCATCTGTAATTAATAACTAATAAAAATTAAATAAGCCTTTATAAGTTAATCACTATTAGTGAAATAAATTATTAGTTTAATATCATGGATGAAAAAATTACCACACCTTCCCTGGTATTATCGTTTTTTTCAAAGCTGCCTTCAATTTTTCGCCAAGTGATTGCTGGTATTTCGTAAAATTCATTCCTGCGATGCTTTTCAAAAATTCGTAAGACCAAAAAAGTGGCGTTTCATCACCTGTAACTAAAATCTCCAAAATACTGTCGGAAAAAAAACTCTTATTTTATTTCTTTACTTTGTCGTCGGAAATAATTATAAAACTGAAACAATTTTTATTACATCTAATTTCATCGCTGCATGTTGCATTATAAGTTCAAAAAAAAAAAAAAAAGCAAATTCCAAAATATATTAGGGAGAAATATTAAATAAAGATAGAACGTTTTATTAGCAAAGGGTTGTTGAAACCGAAAATTATGTTCAAAATGAAATATATAAGAAGTAGAATTTAAAACAATTTATGTTTCAATTTAACGATAAACCAAATAATTTTATGGCTTATTTTAATTTATTAGAAAAGGAAGAAATAGTAACCCCTAGTCGATTCATAAACAACTATTTGTTCATATTAATATATCGAAAAGATTTGCATACCATCGCTCAGTGCCAGAGTGTTAATTTTCACGCGAATATTGGCTCCTACAACAATTTCCGCCAGAGCATTTAAAACTGAAGCTGCTTCACCTAATTCTGACATAACACCTCGGCTGATATAAAACAAAATATTATGTTGAAATTCATTTCCGTCATCTTCTTCCTAAAAAAAAAGATGCCAAAGTTAAATTAGACTTAATAAAGAAATAAAAGAATGCTCTTGATGCCCAGAATAATTTCAAATGAGAACTATGACTATGAGAATACTTTAAATCAAGCAATTAACACATAATTTTTTACTTATTGCTTTTCTGCTCCAAGAATTAAAGCAAAAAATAATAAACTTATAAAGGAAAATCAGAAAAAGTATAAGATGGACAAATTCTATGTTCTAAAATCACATAATCGATTACGTTTATCATTTTCTTTTCAATCATATTGAAGAAAAAGAACATAAAACACCATAAATTCCATGATTCATGATTTGAAAAAAAGATCAGAATAAAACACTTCAGCAATTCTTAGATTTTAGATGTTGACTTCAACGCATACATAGATAAATGAGTTATGTAAAATTATAATACGATAAGTGTGAGTCTTGTAAAACAATGCGTTTCACCTCGATAATAGAAAAAATTTGCAAAACATGCTACTCGATAAATCCTAATTTTTAATTTTTGAGCATACTGATTTGAAGAAAAAACACACACACACACTTCACTTACCTCAACAAATAATCTACAGGCCATCTGAATAGCATTGGTATGTGAATATGCTTTCTGATTACCTCGTTCAAATGCTTCTATGAAAGCTGTCATTACGGCAATCTGTTCACTCGTTACACCCAAGAAATTTTGATTTTTGCAAGCTTTTGTATTATGTGTTCCATTTGACACAATCACCATATACCTGTGTATTTCAAATCTTGGAATTCTAATTAGAAATAACTTTTCAAAATATTCAATGAATGCATAAAATCTCCCATGAAATCTAATCTGTATTCCATTAACAATAAAATTAACTGTAATAAGACAGTAAGATTTTATATACTTTTCCTTTAAGCTTCAAGTAAAATCAGAGACACGATGATATGTGTAGGTTTGAAAAGGTCATCCAATCCGAATCATTCATTCAAAGATTGCCATCAAGAATGTGCAGCTGAGAGATGACCGAAAGATAAGTTAATCAATTGCTCGGATATCTTAGATGCAAGCAAAATAGTTTGTCTATCAATTAATCAATCATCATCAACAAAAATTTAATATTAACATCATCAGTTAGTCAACCTTAACTATTTCTCGGTATAGTAAAATCAAGAATAAATTTGTAAATAAAACTGCACGAAAACAAGAATAAATCCGTAGATAAATTTTCAGAAGTCACCAGAAAGCATCAAAAGTTACCTATCTCCAGGGACAGCACCATCAAGAAGGATTTTCGCAACACTTTTTGCTTTAGCTAGATGCATATCAGTAAGAAGAGTACCTGAAACATTTGAAAATCAAAGTAAATATTGAGTATCTGGTCAAATTCAGATTTTCCGAAGTGAGCAAATAAGTTAGAAAATAACATCTTAGAAATTAAAAGAAAAAAAGCAACAGAAATATATCATAACTTTAAATTTATAAAAATCACCGATAGTTTTACTTGCTTGAAATGATGTATTTATTATAAAAATTTTATTGAAATGCTACAAATACTGAGTATCAAAATCAAAAAATGACTGATCTTATTTTGATTAGTTTTAGCAATATGTGAGTAATACCAAACCTATCTTCTGATCTGATTGATCAATGGAACATCTCAACTATTCCTTTTTTTTGAATTTGATATTTTTGATAACGCACAACATAAATAGAGAGTATTAATTATATATATTATTCTTTCCATCTCTCTTAATATCTCTTCACAAATATTCCGACAAAATCTTATAAATAAACAAACCTGCATCGATAAGAATTATAACACGTCGTTTTTGAGGTAAAGCAGCAGAAAGAAATGGACCCCAGTGTCTTCGTTTATGAATTGGGATGGCATGTGCAGGATATTCGATATGTGGTCCACTGATACCAATAATATATTGCCATCGAATTGCACTATCAAGTGCATTAGTATGCAAAACTAAATGCAGGCAACTTATTAAATATTTATCAGAATAGTGGATCTGATCATTAATTATATTAATTGAGTTATAAAGTCATGAACAGATCATATGCATTGCGATATTTTCGGCTTTCATCTAAAAAATACTGCAATCAAATGTCCACGAATTTAAATTAAAATGCAAAAATTTCACGCTACTTGATGTCAAATTCATCTCAGCATAATACAAGAATTTTGATGGTTGTTTGGTTGATATCAAGCATCCACTGGTCATGTTTACACGTGTACCAAACTGTTCTTCATAACTTAAAATAGTCCAATTAGAAAGTATAAAAGAGCAAAAATGATCAATCACTTTTTCTAACAGTTATAACAGAAAGGAAAAGAAGATAAATATCATGCATCATATAATGCTGAAAACACCTTGTAATGTAAGGCATTTTAGCATTTTAAATTAATCAATTTTAAATTCCAGCATTTTAAACAAAACAATTTAAATAAGCCAAAAAAAAAATTCACTCAGTTTCTGCTGTTAAAGAAAAAGCTCTTTATTCAGAAAACCTTAAATATCCTGGTGTAATCCGTGCACATTCCATCATTGATCTGTAATCACGAAAAGTGATCCAGTCTGGTTGTGAACTGCTTGAAATGTATTTCTTTGTTTCAGTTAATAAATTACAATATTTCGCAAACTGTGCGTCCAATCGATTTGTTATATCACGTACCAATGAAGAGTTAAGAATTGTCCGTTTGAAATCCAAACCATCAATAATTGACTACAAAATAATTAATTAGCAGTTATGTCACGTACAGTAAACTGAAAGTTTTCGGAATAAACAAACTTTTTAACGTGTAAAACACATCTATGCTTCATATAAACTACAAAACATAATTATCATTTTGAAAAAGTAATAAAATAGGTTCAGAAAGTTACACATCCTTCATTTTTTTGTCAGAATTTTGCAAATCAAATAATAAATTATTTATAAATTTAATGAAAGCTATACCTGTATGACAGGTACACCAAGCAACTCATTAACCTGTAATCGATGCGCTTTATACAATTGATCAGCTGTAAAATGCGCTGCGAGCGTGATGTAATTTTCCCGTATGACATCCTGATGTTGATGATACATTGCTGTGATTGTGACAAAAATCATATTAACAATAACTAAAGCAATCATTGGAATCAAATAAGGGTGCATTAGAGTGAATATAGAACCGATCAGTGATAAAGAATGAATGATGCAGCAAATTGATTGAATTCATAATTTGACGACGCAAAACTTGTAGTGTTATAATTCATCATCCTTTGATCCATTTCACACCTAGAAATAACTTCACTTTCAAAATATTTTAAATTATTTAATTATTCATTACATTTGAATAGTATATTTTGTTCTAATTAACAATCACATATAGTGAATTTCTTTCTATTAGTGATGAATGAGATGATAAACACTGATAACTTGAAACAGTCACACTCTCATCCATCCACATATATGTTTTTCGTTTCCTATGAAATTCAAATGACCAGAAGAACAAAAACAAAACAGTATTAGCAATGTTAGTAAGTGAAGGAAGAATGAATAGAAGTATATGAAGTAAGCAATGATAAGGCTTAATTCAATGATATATTTACAAATTTACTTAAATCTTTTATTTGTTTTTTTACTCTTTCTCAAAGAAAGAAATCCAACTAATTACCATATTTAATTTTAAAAAAAGAAATATAACTTGAAATATATTATAACAATGCTAACATGTGCATATTATGATTATTCATAATAGTATGCTACAAATAAATTGAATGATAATAAAAATATAAATTGAATAAAAAAAATAAAACCGGTGGAGAAACTTATAATCAATTAAATTAAACATTCAAAAATGATTGAAATTGTAAAGAAAAAATAAAAAGGAAAGATTTAGAGCCATTCAAAATGTCGATAAAATATAGCAAATTATTTCAATAAAAATATGATGTAAAAAGGGAGGGAGAGGAGAGGCGGAGAGAGAAAGAGACAAAGAATAGTGTAACTTCTTTTAAAATTAAATTTGAGATAACAAATAGAAAAGAATGTTAGGAAAAGTAAAATAGAATTATGATAAAGTAGAAACAAAGAATGATCACACATTTGGCAAAAATTTTCTCAAAATCTCGGCCATTTGCAAAATACCAAAATGTCTTAACAATTGTGAAAAGGGAAAGAGAGAGAGAAGGGAGAGGGATAAGTAAAAAGAGAGAGGAAGAGAGAGAGAAGTGAAAGGTCAAAAGAGTGATAATGTAAGAGATCGAGAAGAGGAAGAAAAAGTGGAGAGAGCAGTGTAAAGGGTTATTGATGATTAGCAAAGATGAACTAAATTTGTCTTTATGAGGAATTTTTGGAATGAGAAAGATTAGACAAAGGTAAATAGAAAGTTTGTCTCTCTTAAATATTTCTTCCACTTCTCTCCTCTCATCTTTTCAACTCTTCCTTTCTTCCTTTCTCTCCCTCTCCCTCCCTCTCTCTTCTTTTCTGTTAAAGAAATTCGAACAGTTCAACCGGTTTCTAATCATTATTACTGCTTATCCAATCCATTTGTCTTAATTTTATTTCCATTTGTCAACTTTTAAAAAATTTCAAATGAAAATTATTTAGCAAAAATTTTTTATACATATTTTTTTATCGTAATAACTAAATAAAAAGGAAAGCAAAAAAAAAAAAACTTTTCGTTTTTCAATAAAATTGTAAATTTCATAAAATAGTCAAATATCCATTAGAATTATAAACTTATTAAAATGTCATTTAATTTTAATCTGAATGGTATGATTTTTTTTTCTTCTAGAATTATTAATTATGCAGGAATAAGTAGTATTTTTAATAATTATTAGCTTCTAATATTAGTTTAAAAAACTTAACATTTTCCATTTTACTTTCATTTCTATTTAATATTTCATTCCTAACTGGTTACTTCATTTAATAATGGTTCATTTAATTGATTATTTTGATTTGATGTATTTTATTTACAATAATTTTTCTGAGTTTTTATATTTAAACGAAGTTTTTTTCATTGAATAATTATATTAAGTATTTTTGAATTTATTTTTCTGTTTTTATTCAATTTGATTTTTTTTAACTTTTTATATAAGAATAAATTTTTGATAAAAACAAACTTTTATCCAATAATAGAATTTAAATTTGAAAATTTTGAAAAACAAAAAAAAAACTGCTTTTTCTTTATAGAAACAGTGCAAACAATTTTTTGAAAAAAAAAAAAATTGAAATGAAAGTTTACAGTTGAAAAGATTCTTATTTCTTAATTAAATATTTCTTCTAAAATTCACTTTTAATTAAAATGCAGAATTTGAATTTCTTTTTTCCCATTGTTTTTTTTTTCTTTTCATTTAAATGAATGTAATATGCAGGTACACTCACGGAAACGTATCAGTCATACTACTAACATTAAATTAGAGCCATATTCAGTTGTCACCGATACATCAACCATTGCAACAGATTATGCATCAGTTGCATCTAATGAAAGTTTCTATGATGAATCACATGGCCAACCTATTTCTGGCCCATGGCCTAGGCCTATATTGTATTAGTTTTTATTTTCGCTCTTTTCTATTTTAACAATTTTTTGTATTAAAAATTTTTTTTCAGAAATTTTTAAAACATAATTTTTGAAATTTTTTTTGATAAGATGTCATATGTAAATTTTTAAGATACTTTTTTCTTTTTTTTTTTCAAAAATAAACTATTATATACAAATTTTTTAAATGTTTTTTTTTTTAAAATAAATTTTATAGGCCAATAAAAAGTCATTCAGAATCAAACAATGTTCATAAATTAACACAGTGTATACAACATAGTGTGAAGAAAAGTTCGTCCGATACAACGATGAATATTGCTATTGATTATGGAAGTAAATCAAATTAATAATAATTAATAATTTAGTAAAAATTACTCGCTATATCAAATTAATAATTTAGTAATTAATAAACTTATCACAAATCACTACTATCAATTATCAATTTACCAAAAAAAAAAAAAAAATTATGTTAAAAAAACATCCAATAATTATTGTTTCTTCCGCGATATTTTGTTTTTGACGATTTCCTGATATGATATAGCATTATTATATTATAGCTTAATGTTTTCAATATTTTTTAATACTACAAAAAGTTATTGTACTTTACTAATTGTAAGGGTAAATTACTATGTGCTAAGCTCATAAATTTAGAAAATTTTATATCTGTTAAGGTTACAAATCAGAAATTTTAAAATTTATAGAAAATTCTTCATCAAAAAGTCTTACTAAAAAATTTTTTTATGAATGTATTTTCAATACGTGTTTTTTGAGCCTTTTAAAATTAACAAAAGTATAGGAAAAGAAATTTTTTTTTCCAGCAATTTTGCTTAATTAGCTAATTTTTAGAGCGATTAGAAGAATTTGACACAACAGCAATTAATATTCCTGGAACGGGAAAATATGATATCTCTAAACAAAAGGTTTAAAAACTGATTTATAATTATGAAAATTATTTCTTTCTGATGATTTTTTTTCCTTTAAACATTATTGTTGATCAGAATTTTCAATTTATTGTTTGTCAAAGTTTATCGTGTTCCGTCAAAAACCTAAAATTTTTCAAATCAAAGCATCAAAATTAAAATTTATCAGATTGTTTATTAAAATCATATTTTGGTAACTGAAAACACATGAAATTTGATTGCCTAGTATTCTTGATCAGGGTATTATTAGTAATATCAAAAGATTCTCAGTATGATTAGTAAATGATTTGCATAAAAAAGTTATTAAAACATTGCATAAACAAATGAATTATAACACAGCTATGTAAAAAAAAGTGGCATTTCAGTGAATTTAATTTAATTTCATTAAAAAACGAAAAAAGGAGAATGAAGCAAATTATATGTAAAATAAAATTATAATTGAGCATTTTATAATTTTACTAATATTTGTTCATCTATTTAAATGCAGGAAAAAAAAAATAAACCTAGAGATGAAGCTAAAAATCTTAGATTTATTCTTTCTTTCTTTTAATTTAGCTTATTCATTTCTATTAAAATATTTTAGGATGGTGTAGAATCGGAGCATTCTATTCAAGTGATAACACCAATGTTATCATCAAAAGAGCAAAATAAATTACACTTCGATCATTTGCAACAACGAATTGCATCATTTGCTTCACCACTTGTTAGCATGGTATAAGCCAATTGTAATTTTCATAATATCTTCAATTTTATAAAATAAAATTAAAAAGTAAATTTTAACTTTATCATGAATTAACTTTCAGTGTTATTTTTATCCTACTTTTTTCTCTTTGTTTTTCAATGTCTTTTTTTTCAAAGAGAAATAAAATTAAATTGATAGAAATTTTTAAATAAAATATTTGTTAGCTTGGAACAAGAATTGAAACAACTGATGGTGAATCATCCACTGATCAAGATTTAGAAATCAATGAAACTAATATGAACATTAAGGTAAAATAGTAATGAAACTAAATAAATATTTACTGAAATGCAATAATTTCTTGAACATGTGAATTTATTTATTTATTTTTTCTCAAGAAATGATGATAAATTGGGAATATTTTTCTTTTCCATCTCAAAAGCAGAAATTTATGATTGATAGTTGCAATTCAATTTTATGAATGCTTTTTTTTTTTTTTTTTTTTCTCACAAAGATCACTGAGATATAATTAGATGGAAAATAATGGTAATAATGCAAAAAAAAGAAAAAAAAAATATATTGATTGCAATTTTTTTAGACACCAATTGTAGCACTGCAATCAAAATCACAATCAATTATACCGAATGAAATACATAATGGTATATTAATTTTTTTCTCATTTGAATTGAAATTGTATTTTTGAAATAATTAAACGGCCAGTTGGCATAATTCATTTGATAATAATAAGAAATGAATATGATAAAAGTAATAGCAATAATAATTTAATTTGATAAAAGTATTTTCTTTTCTAACATTTCAGAAATTGATAATAAATTAGCATCACTACCATATTTTCAACAAAATCATTTCATAGATTCACTGCCTATCTCATCGATTTCATCTATGGTAAGTTTAACTATAAAAAAGAGAAGATATTTAAAGTTTTTTTTTTTTTAGTACTTAAACATTTCATCAAAAAGAAAAGAAAATTATTTGATAAAAATTTTCTTTCATATAAATTTTCTATTTATCATATATATTATTAATTCATTCCATAATTCAAATTTGATTTCATTTCCTTTATTCATTCCTCTGTTTATCATTTTCATTCTTTTTATATGCAAATTTTATTTCTGTTGAAATCTGTCGAAAATTTTCGTATAATTTATTGTTGAGTTATTGTTATTATTATTATTATATTATTTGTCAATATTATTACTATTATTATATTATTTATAACCATTATTACTGTTATTATATCATTTATTACTATTATTACCATATATTTATATATGTTACTATATTGTATTATTCACTCCTATTATTACTATTATTAAATTTTTTATTTCTTTTATTTATTTTCACAATTCAGGCGATGAAAACACAAAAAAAACTGGTGGATAAAGCACACCAAACATCTCACAGACAAGGTTAATAATTTTTTTTAAAATTATTTTTTATAAAAATTAATAAAAAGTAAAAATTAGAAAAATGTTGATGAAATTACAACGATATAGTATTAATTTTTTGCTGGTTCTTAAAATTATTCAATTCATTATTCAAATAAAATTAACCAATTCATTTAAAATTCTTTTCAGAGGATAATAGCATTCATTTGAATGATGATGCAGTTAAGCAAGAAGATAGCAGTAATAATATTAGTAATAATAATGATGGCAGTATTATTATTATTAACAATAGTAATAATAATAATTCGAATGATGCTAATTTGGTAAAAAACAAATATGCTAATGAATTAGTAATTGGAATTGGAAAAATTCTACGTGAAAAGAATGGTGGAATTGCAGCATTATATAAGAATGCCTTAGAAATGCCTAATTCAAGATTTAGCAAAATTTTATATTCTATGATTGCATAATTTTACTGTAATATAAATTTTAAGGAAAATATTCGTAATAATGAAATTAACATTGATAAAAATTAATGTATAAATGTATTTGAATTACATAATAAATTGATAAGTTGTTTTTGATAAGATATCTCTCAGTATTATAATATTTAATCTCAAAGATTAAATATATACAAATTAAACAGGAATTAAATAATAATTATCAGATTCATTTCATTATCTTATGTCTCTATGTAACAGCAATGTTATTGATAATATCAGAAAAATTAAGCTGAATCAAAATTATGTAAATCGTTAAATGACTTAATAATATTTAATGTAATTTAGTTTAATTTAAATTAGAGGAAATTGTAAAGTAAAAAAGAAAATAATGATATTCTAAATTATTTGAGCGATTTTTTTTTTCTATCACGTCAATTAATAATAATATGAATAATTTTTCAGGTGATTAAGGTAATAAGATGAATAACTTTCCAATTAATAAATAAAAATTGTTTTCAAACAATTAAATTATAATAATATATCTTATTATTATCTCAGTTTTTACTTCTTTTTTGTTTATTCTTTTTCATGCATACATTATCATTATGTCATTTAATTTTTGATTATTAAATCAAAAAAAAAAACAAAAAAACAAAAAGTTCTGGTATCATTATTTATTATTATACACGAATATCAAATAATAATTGATAAGCTTAATAAACATTAAAAACTGATTACAAAATATAAGAAAAAAAAATACCTTTCTCTTTCCAAAGTAATACATTTACCACTAATATTCTACTACTACTACTACCACTAATACTACTACAATCACATCATTCGTATATTTTTAAATTAATCATCAAATATCTGAAATTAAATTAATTAATTGATTAAAGCATTCAAGTAAATTACAAATGGTTTCATATACAATTTACACTAAACACTTTTCTCCATATCAGCTTTTCCCTTGTTTGTAATTCCAACTTAATTATGTAGTAAATGATCATTATTGATTACAAATAAGTCAAATTCTTTTTATCATTGTGAATAAGTTATATCATCCTTATCATCAATAAGTCAACTCTTATCATTGACTATTCTTATCATAAAAAAATTCTTATTAAATATTTAAAGGAGCTCCCTTCCTTATAACCTTATAATGAAAAAGTTCCCTTCCTTTAACTATAAATGAGCCGAGTAATTTCTTTTTATCATCGACTGACTGTAAACAGGCCAAGTTTTTGCTTTTTTTATCATTATGAGTAAGCCAAGTTTTAATGAGATAAAATGGGACATTTTTTATTTTTTATAGAAATATGTAAGGTTTGAATATTTGCTGCAATTTATGATAATATATTTTATATTGTATAAAAAGCTGACGTACGTAAATATACAAAAATATACAGAAAACTTCGCAAAAAAAAAGTACGAATGCATATTTTTCTTTTTTTTTTTGTCTAAAAATAAAGGCACCTAAGATGGAAAATTGAATAAAAAATTCACAAATAATTTCGGAAATTGCATCATTCTGATCATAACATAAGTGTGAACAAGTAAATAATAAGCAAATTCTTGGAAGAAATTTGAATGATTTAGAATAAAATGTTAAGTCAAAAAAAAAAAGAACACATTGAATTTTTAAAAGTAGTTTAGAAGAAGAAATATTATTGCAATGATAGAAATGAATAATTAGATGATAAGAGTAATCTACAGAAATAAAGAAAAATATTTTTTTGATCAAATTTATTTTTCTCCTTCATTCAGAATTTTATTAAAAATTTCGAAATTTTGGAAAAATTATTTAATAAGAAAAAATAAACTGAAAAGATAAGGTTGCGATTAATTCACTAAGAAAAATTCAAAATAAATTTTAGAAGAAAAAGAAGAAAGAAAAGAAAATATATTTTGTCTAAAATATTTTGGAAGGAGACGTAATTTAATGGCATTAATTCATTTTCTTTAAATTTCAATTTTTAATTTGAATAAATTATGAAGAGTTATGCGTGGTACTTATTGATACTAATATTTATTTTTTTTCTTTCTTTTCCACATAAAAATAAACAAATATAATTCAGAAGAAGAAAAAAAAAGTAATTTATTAATGCTATTTTGATTATTTGTGTAAAAAAAAGTTCAAAAAAAAAAAAAAACAAAATCGAATAAAACTATAAAACATAACAAAGTTATAAACAGCAGTGAACAATGACATATATAATTACACCGGGCTTACATTAATTAACATATTAATCTTAATATATATCATAATTAATTGTCTAATTAACTATTTGATCCCATAAAAAAAAGAAATACTTATTTCTTCTAATATATTTAACAAATGTGTATAAATGAATAATTAGTATCTGTTTGAACCGTGAAATTTTACATATTAGATACTATCAAATGTCATTTCTTTTAATCATAATTTGTAATAATAATAATATATTTACATTTACTAATTCTAATATTCTATTTATCAAGTTTAAAAAATTAATTAAATAATTAATTGCATAATACTTATTATACGAAGAAGCTATCTTTATTAGATGTTGAAATTGATGATAGCACACGTGGCATTGTTGCAAGCCGTGATGAAGTACGGACAGGTGAATGCAACTGAGGAGAGAAATGATGCGGTGGCGGTAAGCGCTGATGTTCCGGACGATTTCTCATATGTTGCAATGTTGTAGTTGGACATAGCCTTAAATAAATTTTATTAAAATATTTATGTCTTTCTTTTCATCAAAAAATAAAAAGAAAATTCTCTGATATAAAATGATAATTTATTGAAGTTATTTAGATTACAATGAAATATACAATTAATACTTAAAAATACCTTTTTAATGCATTCCGTATCATCTGTACTTCTTCAGCAATTAACCCGTAACTGAGTAAATCAATATGTCCAAGACGTATCAAATCCGAAACTCTACTAACACCAGCCATATTAAGTTTTAATGCACAATGTCCCAAACCAATACGTTTCAAAAATTCATCCAATGAAAGTTGTGAGGATAATGATAACGATGCTGCTGATATTTCTGCATCAAGCGTACGTGGAAGTGTACCAAATGTTGAAAATCCAACACTATAAATTTTTATTTATTAATTTCTATTGAAATATGTTATCTTTAATAAAATAAATGGTTTAAAAATGATAAAAAAGAAATAAGAAATTTCAAAATTCTAATGTTCCACAATTCAAATCATTTTTAAATTATTTGAAATTAAGAAAAAAAAAAGAAAATAATATACAATTGATACAAATTAATTTCTTATAAATATCTTATTAATTTGCTTATTATTGATTAAAACATCATTTTTTTTTCGTTTTTTAAATATATAAATATTTCTTAATGCTCAATTAATTTAACTTAATCGAAACTAATGACTTATTATAAACAACTAATTACAACTTATTTTAATATTAAACTATTCCATATCAAACTTACTTTGATAATGTCGTATTATCCAAACAAATACCATCACTATAGATCAGTGCTGGCTGACGAACATATTCTTCGAGAATTTTAAGAATTTGCGCAAAAGTTGGTCTCTTATGACGATCGATATGCCAACATTGTAACATTAAATTATGCAATGATATCGGTGTATCCATCGGTGACGGTAAACGATATCCCAGTGTTATTTCACTGATTACTTTTTGATTCGTCCAATCCCAGTATGGTCGTTCACCAAATGAACAAACCTGTAATAATGAAACAATTTGCTAGAAATTAATTCCTAATCAATTTTTTAAATTCGTAAATTTTCCTTTTTTAATTTGATATCATCAATAAGAAGCATAATGCACTGATATTTTGATAATTATTACGAATGTATTAGTGATATTTCGATAATTATTGGCCGAGTAAAATGATATTATAGAACCATTTAGGGATACACTGAGTAAAATGACATAATATTTATTTGATAGAAGATAGTTCAGATTTTATAATTTTTCAGATTATTTCATAATTTATTACTAAATTAACCATTAAAAAAAAAAAAAATTATTTTGACCTAATTTTTCACGTTAACATAAATATTTATAATTTTTATTTGTTAGAATATAAATTTTTAAATGCTTCAAATTTCTAAATGTTATAATTTTGTCATTCTTCTCTATGCTTTTTCTCATTAATTTTGTTCAACTCCAATAATTTCTTATCAAATAAATCACCTCCCACATAACAACACCAAAACTCCAAACATCTGAGGCAGCGGTAAATTTTCGATGTGTTATAGCTTCAGGTGCTGTCCAGCGGACAGGTATTTTACCACCATTTGTTGTATATTCTTGTTCAACGGAACCTTCAACACCACGACTTAATCCAAAATCAGCAATTTTACACAGCAAATTTGAATCAACCAAGACATTTCGAGCAGCTAAATCCTATAAAAAAGTATTGATAATAATTAATAATAATAAATTTCATTCATTCATTTCATAAAAATATTTGTTAAATAAAAGCATTAAAAAAAAAAAAAATTACTCTATGTACAAAGCCTTTTTCCGTAAGATATTTCATTCCAGCTGCTATACCTCGCAACATTTCAATTATTTGCATCAATTTCAATACTCCATTATCATTCTTTCGTAAGAACTGATCCAGTGATCCATTTTCCATATATTCAATTACAATCATAATCTAATAAATAATTCATCAATTGATTAAAAAAATTTAATAAAAATTTTAAAAATATTAGAAATTGAACTTCTTTTAACATTTAGTAATTATAATTTAACAAAAAAGAGAGAAAAAAGAAAAACTTACTGGTTCATTTTTTGTAACCACACCAATTAATCGAATTACATTTTCATGAGTAAACTGTCCCATAATAGATGCTTCCATTAGAAAATCACCTTTAGCTTTATCACTACTACCTGGTTTCAGTGTTTTAATAGCAACTGTTTGTACCTGCAAATATTTTAAACTAATCTTTAAAAATAGTAGCTTGGCTAAAATGAACCAAACTTTAATTTGTAGTACAGTAATTCAACTTAAACATTTAGAAATTGAAATTCATTTTAAAAATTTTACATATTTTATAATAAATGCAACATAAAAACAACATGTAATTCTTGTTTCACGCATGGCATATATTTAGCACCAAATATAATTATGACCCTTCAAAATTTAATTTATAAAAATGTCTTACTTGACAAATATCAGAAGAGGTCATCCTATACGATGGTTGCAAAATACCTTTGCAGACTTCACCAAATTCACCACTACCAATTATCTCGGTGATACGTATCAAAGCTGGATCAACATCATTTGTAAATTCCAATAAAGCCTATAAATTAATTTATTACTATAAAATTGTAAAAATTACAAAATATCATTTATTTATCATCTTTTAAAATATATTTATTAAAATTTTGAAAAAAAAAATAAACCAGTAACAAAATTAATAACAATTAAAATTATGAATTCATTGTAAAATAATTAAAATTTGATAAAATTGTCAAGCTTTTGCTGAAAAAACAAACGCTTAAATCATAATTATTGGTTTATCACTATCAACAAAATGATTTACCTGATTTGGATCTTCATATGCTGCTGGATCAACATACGGTTTAAAACGAGTAATAGTTTCACCATAATTAGTTGATTGTGATGAACCATAATTTATTAGTGGCGAACTCACTAAAAATTATTTAAATAAGGATAGAAAATGATAAGCTTTTTTCGCTTTTGTAAAAAAAATGATCTTATTAATAAAATACTAAAATATGAATAAAAATAATGGCGATAAAATCAATAAAAAGAAAAAAAAAACAAAATAATAATATTTATGTTTAGCAATCAATAAATAAACCTACATTTTCCACGAAAAAAATTTTGCACATGACCTTGTGAAGCTGGTGCACTAAAGTCTGGTGTTAATGTGCCTGAAAATTAACCTTTACTTTATCAGTGTTCAAACAAATTATTTACTTGCATTCAAACTATAAACAACAATTATTGTAAAAATTTCAATAGCAAAACATGCGGAATCAATTATTATAATTAAAAAATTAGATAATTAAAAGTTTGTTTAGCAAATAACACAATTATTAATAATCTTTCTTTCATTTAAGCATTGCAAATTAATTTAAAGAATAAAATTTTGTATTGTTGTGTAAAATTTTGTATTTAAAATATAAAATTTTGTATTTACTATGCACATTTTAGTATGAATAATGAATAGAAATAAAAATTCAAATAAATTTGAAAATTATAAATATAATTACGAAACTACACTTAAGTAAAATTTTTAATATTTCGTCTGTGTTTTAGCAACTTAGGCAAGACAACAGATGCACAAAAGCATTTTATAAAAAATGAAAAATAAAAAAAAAAATTAAAATTATTTTCACTGAGATTGCCTACCATAAGAACAAGAATAATGCCGAACTGAAATGACAATGGAAGCGAAATGTGAATCTATCAATTGTCACTTATCATTAGTTATCAATAACTATGTGTAATTGGATAGTAGGAACAGCAGTTAACCATAAGTCGCAAAGTATATTATGAGGCAAATAATTGTCTTAGCTTATTTACATAGCAAATATATATAGCGCTGGTTAATGTGCATAAACAAACAATCAATATTGTTTGCTTTACTAGCATAGCAATAGCACAGGTAAGTGTTTTTATTTTTCTTTTTTAATAGTATAAAAGTATTTGTGAGTATAAATTTTTAATTTTAAATTTAAAATTAGAAAGGTGAGGAAAACTGAATAAATTCAAATACCATTTTTATAAGAATCGATACCATCACAATCACTTAATCGTTTTCGATTTCGATTTTGTCGTAGACAAATGAGTAGCGTGAGCAGGACGATAACTACGAAGGTACAAATTAATAAAACCCAAATCCATAACGGTGGTCCAGGAGATGACCAATGCAAATCGCTAAAAATAATTTGAGAGGAGAGAATTTGAATACATTAATAAATTTGAGAAATATATAAGCTAATTCGAATATATTAGCAAATTTCAGAAATATATCAAATAAAAATTGAATACAGTAAAATTTATTATTATAATAAAATAATCAAAATAAATGTATTAATTTACACAATGCTATTATTATGCATATATTCATCATTAACATCAATATCATCGTCATCAACATGGTGGCTTATTGGTGCAAACGGTAAACCATGACCAGGTTGATACCACAACGGTTCACTCCATGTGCCATATCCATGTTCGTTTACTATACGTACCTATAATACAAATAAATTTTTGGAAATAAATCAATAAATTAAAAAATGAAAACACACTTGAAATTTCTCAATATGGCTTAAATTATTAACAAAATATCATTCTTTCGTTTCCGTTTTTTTGGATTTCAATTAATTCTATCTTATTATTAAAGTTATGAAAAATTTAAGTTTAAATATATAAATAAGTAATGAATAAACAAATAAAAACAAATTAATTAATTAATTAACTTACCCTAAATGAATACATAAATTGTGGTTTTAAACTTTCAAATGTATAATAGCTTCGTGTGGTTTTTACAACTGCTGATGAATCATTGTGTAATGATTCAATCTGAATGAAAAACAACAAGCTGAATTAAATTGATTTAAAAAATAAATAAAATAAAATAAAAACAAGAAAATTGACTTTATTATGAAATTAAATTTTGCATTAACTAACTTCATAAGAGAGTTCGTTCTTCATTGTACCTATTGGCTTCCATGCAATTGTCACACCATTTTCTTGTATACTTTCGATTCGAAGACCATTTACTACTGGTATCGTAGTTCTGCAATAATGCATACTTATGATTAATTTCTTTAAGCATAAAATCGAGTAAGGACGAAACACCAAATCATATTAATTATCACTTAAAATTTCGACGATTAAGCTTTACATATTACTACGATAAATGTGATACTATAATACATGCAATATTACAATATCTGTAATACTTATATGAGGCGTAGATTATACAAAATGAAAATTACTTCTGTCCATAACAAAAGAATAAATTTATAAAAAAGAAAATAAGTCTACCGTGTAGTAAATTCAACCAATGCATATTGGCTAACAACCGATTCAACCTTTGACACTTTATTTTCCGCAAAAATTAACACCGTATAAGTGGTACCAGCTTTTAAAGCAGTTAATTGTAAACGTTGCGTTGTGAATGTTTTTCCGGCTGGATGAGCTATTGTTGTTGACGGACATTCGGGACATTGGTAACGATACCACAATTCCTGTAAGTATAAAAATATAAATGAATTAAAGTTTGATTAATTGACTACAAAACTAGTAAGTCAAATAATTTTGAATAATTTCACAATTAATTAATCGGGCATACGGTAATAATTTCGATGTTAATTTGTCAAATATAAATTTTTTAGAGTGCTGTCACTGTTAAATTATCAGTGAAAAATCTGAGTAACATCAAATGATCGAATAAGTTTACATAATGTCATTTGTCGGTGTGAAATAATTTCGAGTAATTTGGCGAAATAAAATCGACTAGTATTTGTATTTTTGTCAATCATGAAATAATTATAAACTAAGATCTTTGTCAATCAGATCATAATTTTTTAAATAATGTGAGATAAATTCGAATAATACTGCCATTTTTCTTAATTAATTTCATCGAAAAAATGTTACATTCTTCGAAAAACATTTTGAATAGTGTATGATTACATTAAAATATATGTCTTAAGAATAAGTAAAATTTTTCCATTCTTTTTAAAATTTTCCATCTTTTCTTGAAATTTATTCGTCCATTACAAATTTAATTAATAAAATATCAAATGTCCCCTTAAATTAACCTTTCGTCCACCAAGTACCAATGGTTCATCCCATTCAATTATAACAGATGTATCATCAATTCGTGCTACTGTGACGTGTGAAGGTTTCGATGGTGGCTCTATAAACAACCTTCCTTTTCATTTCTATTTTTATTTTTTGTTCAGTTTTACTATTCAAATATAAAAATAAGAAATCAATGAATTTTAACAATTAATCTGTTATATTTTTATAATTCAAAATGATATTAAACCGATATACTGTTATTTTATGAAAACATTTACATTAAAAGAAAAAAAAAAATTAGCCACCATAAAAAAATACAGACTTACGTGTACAGGAAAATTCAGGTCCTTCGTCGTCTGCCCTATAATAACCCGCGTCACATTGACATTCCGCACTACCAATATGTCGTGTACTGCTATGTCCAGGACATGACTCACAATCTCCCAAACCATTTTTTGCTTTGTATGATTGAATAGAGCAAGCTAAAATTTGATAATAATAACATTGTAAAATTTTAGAAGAAAAAAAAAGGGAAAAAATTACATTATCTGAAAAAAGTTTATTTTTTGTTATTTCACTTGAAAATAAAAGTATCAAAATCACTTTAATTCGCTCAATTTCGATCATACTTTTTTGAAAGAATAAAATAAAAATTTTAAATGTAAAGATAATACTAATTCACAACACATATGCTTATCATATGATAAAATGTTATCTTTTGAATGATAACTAATAAATTATCTCTTTTCTCTCTTTCACATAGTATTTTAATAATTTTTATTAATTTTAATATGAATGGATCAGATTCTCCAAGATATCAAAAATTCAAATGATTTAATAAAATATTCATTATCCAAGTTCTTGAAACTACTTTAAAAAAAAGGATATAATTTCATCCGGTATCATTTTAAAAGACTGAAAAAGAAATATGTAATGAGAATTTCCCAGATATCTAGAATTTAAATGATTTCAAGTTAAATATTTAATTAAATCCTCGAAACTACTTGAAATCAAATCAAATATCACATGACTGATTCATTAAAACTAAGAAAATATACATATGTAAACACATATAAAATATTGTGAATTCATTTTATTTCATTCATTTAAAACTTTTCAAAAAACTAAATTTTCATTTTTAAACTCTAATAAATTACATTCTATTCTTTCAGTCCTGCATGACTTTCAAAAAATAAAATAAAATCAAATATAGGCGATTTTATCGTTCATCAAAATTTTCACTACCATTTTCTTTCTCACCATTTTTTTCTTTTTCATATCATTTAATCATTATCATTCAGGGCGCAAATGACTTTCATTTCATTGTCACCCATTCCATCGGTAATAATGATGATACTATGCTCTTTTTTTTGCTCCTTTCCGGTTTTTGTCTTTCATCTTATTCCTATTTATCTTTTTAATCTGTCGTTGTTTTTTTTTTTTTTAATGCAAATTTTGTCACTACAAAATATTGATTAGAAATTTGTTATCATTATGTTAGAAATAAAAAACATTTATTGGTAGTTGAAAATTTTTTTACAACTTTTGCTACTTTAAAAATTCTACTAATGATGACCTTTGTAGCATTTCAATTTAACCTTCCACTCTCTCTCTCTCTCTCTCTCTTTGTCTCGCCCATTCTTATTTTGACATTACAACTTTAAAATGATGAAAAATTTTGATAAAATAAATGCGAATTTTCATTGAAAAGAAATTTACTTTTCGATTAAAATTTAAAAGAGAAAAAAAAATTCTTTCATTCGGAAAAAAAATGAAAACGGAAGAAAAATAACAAAGTATTAAAAATATTTGCAATTAATTATGATACAAAACAATAATTACTTTGTTTAAATTTATATATTATAATTTCAGTATTTTTATTATTTATTATTGTTATTGCTATTATAATACAAAGTATTTCATGCGGACCTTTTGAGAAAAAATTATAGTAATCCAATTTGAAATTCGAAATTCAATTTTATTCTACATTAATTTCATTACTACACTATGAATTTCGATCAAACCAATTTGAAAATTGAATTTCAATTCAAAATTGCACATGCTACTAATTACCTATTTCATTTCATTGCATTTTGAAACTTCTATATCATTTCCAACAAAAAATTAAAAAAAATTGTTATAGTCAAATATAATGACAAATTTCTTGGAGTATTACATAATTTTAGCATTTATTTTCATTTAATTTGTTCAATACAAATATAAACACTCCCACTCTCCCCGAGTTCAATAGATCGAGGTGACAACATCTTAGCTGTCATTGACCCGCGAATGATTACAAATGTAAAAACTCGTCGATAAGAAAGTACAAAGTACAATTAATTTCATAGAAAATGTATATGAAATTTAGTACTTAATAAGAATAGAAAGATTGATGGTTATTAATGTTTTCCATATTGTCAATCTTCATTACAATCTTCCATTAATGTATTGCAAAACAAAAAGAAAAAAACATTAACGAATTTTAATTTAACACTTTAATTTAACAAATAAAAATAAGAAATTATTTTTGCAAAAGAATTTATCATAAAAAATATAACTTGAAATCTCTTCTTAATTAAAAATTTTGCAAATTTTTAAATTAGTTTAATAAAAAACAAGTTCCAAAAGCGAACAAATATTTTTTTTAATGATAAACAGAAAATAACTGATTAATAAATGGCACAAAATTTACAATTAATGCTGAAAATGATAAATATAAATGGTAATATTTGTCCCTATGATTTCAAAAATGTTAAAGAAATAAGAATTTTAATTTCCATATATTGAAAATAATTAAAAAGGGAAACAGAATTCCGAGATGAATAGAGATGTTTAAATAATGCTAATTTATGCATCATCAAAGTAATTTTCCTCTGATTGATTTAATGGTTGTTGCTATTGATGTTATTGTTATTGTTAAAGAAGAAGCGGTAAGAATAATGAATATGCTAGGATGTGATAAATGCAAATACATTGAATTAAAGATGTATCACTAAGCCATTAAGACAAGACACGTTATTTTATCCATTTTATTAATATTAACAGAAAGCAAATTAGATTAATCAATTAACAATTTCTTTTATAAAATGAACATATATATGAAATAAGATAAAATTAAATGAAATAAAATGCATAATATAATATTGATAAGAGATCTTAATGAAGAATGAAGTAAAGTATAATGATAATTCCAGAAATATTATTTTCATCATTAAATATTTTAATAAAAAAAAAAAAAACAATTGTATCAGAAATGTTAAGATAAACTTATTTAAATAGATTAAAATATTGTGATAAACTCAAATCATGCAAAGATTCAAGTAGATTAATGTGCTGATAGAAAAAAGTATGCTCAATTTGAAAAAATTCCAAATAATTATTACTGATATCATCGTTATCAAAAAAAAAAAAAAATTTATTAGCACTTATTTTATTTGAAGTTCTTTGTTGTTTTTTTCCGATTTTTGTTGAAATTAATCTAATTAATCAGCTTTCATAAAAAAAAAATAGTAAATTATACATTATCATTAATACTTCAACTTTTAAATACTTCATCTGCTTATCGAATTTGCGTAAATTATTTTGATGCGCGCAATTATTCTTTAATAATTTCATCAGAAGATAATAAAAGTTACCAAAAAAAATTCTAAAATTCTAGAGCAATTAAAAATAGAATTAGTTGAAATAAATTAAAAATAATAGAATTATATACCATACCAAATAGGAACAATGATAAAATATATATATCAATACCAAATTAATTAACATAATATTAAGCAAATATAAATTAGTCAAAACATATGTAAGATAATGATATATATGGGTTTAATTTAGTTATTATTCAAATTAATTAATACATTAATAGTTATAAATTAAAATAATAGATCTAAATAATTCATAGCTATGATAAAAGCTATGTTGGTAATATTAGAATTTTTCGTTTTTTTCTTCAACTTAATATTATCAAAGAATTTTGTTCTTATCATTGAAACACATATTGGAAATGTTTTATTATTCGTTCATCCCATTTTTATATAATTTCTAAATTGTATATCTGTTGACAGTTCTGCTAATGAACAAATTTGTTTACATGGAAACAAACAAATTATCATCCCATGCATGATAATTAATAATTTTGTTGCAATTAAAAGTAATTTTTGTTGACAATATTTTGCATGCGAATTGTGCAGTGAAACGGAAAATACTAATTCTCTTTGTAAAATTATAAATAATTTCTCAGTCATTCCTAGCAAATATGTATATATTAGTTGATAAATTATGTTAATTCAATTTTTGCTTTTGTTCAAAAAATTTTCTAAAATTTAATGCTTTATTTTAAAACAAATCTATTTTTCACATTTGATATTAATGTTTAGTATTCTGCTTACATTGCTTTTTCTTTTCCCATTTCATTCCAAAATTTCAACTAAAACTAATGCTTGCAATAAAGTAGTAAAATAACAAATTTGAAAATTATAACTAGTTAGGGTAAGTTAATATAGGAAATTTCTTAAAATAACTTAAAAAAACTAAAGGTATACTTTATGCTGAGGAAAACGAGGAAAGATAATCATCATTTATAGCCAGATAAGTCCATTTTAAAATATGGTTGAAAGAATTTTAAAATACCTAAAATAGTAAAATATTGTTCATTGTTTGCAAGGAATTATTTCATTAAACCATTTGCGAATACATAATGGAAAGTAAATAAGACTAATTAATAGATAGAAATTATAGTAGCTAGAAAAAATGGTATAATTGAAAATCTCTGAAAAATTTAAGTCTTCACATTTTAGTTTTGTTTCTCTAATTCCTTCTTTTTTAAATTTGATTAATAAATCAAAATTACCTTTCATTTTTCACCTTTCACATTATTTCACATCATTTTACATTCCAATCAAGCTTTTTCGGTCAAATTTGATCTCAAGAAAAAAAAAGAAAAAAAAACCTTCCCCTTCTTTTCTTTTTTGTCATTCACCGAAAAGAAATAAAAGAGTAAAAAAAAAAAAGGAAAAGAAATCACATCTTAATGTATCAAATAACGTCAATAACTCACACAATACAACAATGACCTTCCTATAACCTTTAACCTTTAATTCATTATAAGCCTAAAGTAATTAACTTCTGGACATTAAATATTCAACTCTCACACATCATCATTTTTTCTTTTTGAAAGTTCAAATACACTGCGACATAATTTACAATTTATAACGTACTTAGTAATCTTGATAGGAAATGATATTACAGTAATCACACATACCGTAGTAGCAGTGGCGCACTACTGCTACTACGGTATATATACTATTATTAGTTATATTTACAATGTTAGCAGAAATATGACTAATTGTAGTAGTAGTAGAGGTTGAAATTTGATCAATATTAGTATTATTATTACTGGTATTATGCTGACCTCTTAAGGTTGTCTCTTCTTATTGCTTCCTCTTTTCCCTCAAACATTATTAATATTTAATAACCTTTGAGACCATTAATTTTATAAAGAAAGAACTTTTAATAGCATCAGTTTGTCCTTCATATCTTCTTTTACATTTATTTATCCTTTTTTTCCCTCCTTTTCCCTCCCTCCCTCTCTCTCTCTCTCTATTAAAGGAACAAAATTAGCTGCGACAAAATGAAAGAATAAGCATAAATGTAAAACCTATACTATCAGGTCATTATTTGTCAACGATTTAATGGAGACTACTCTTTCCTCTTTATTTTACTAATAACAGAAATTAATAGAACTAATATTTTAGTTTATGAATCGTTTTTTCTCTTTTGAATTAAAATATATTTCTTGAAAAATAAGTTTCAACAAAATAAAAAAATCCATCCACTTTATTCATAGTTACACTTTTAACTTTTTTGCATATAATTTAAAATTAATAATAAATATATTAGTTATTAAATGAAAAGAAAAGAAAAACAATTATTTGCATCACTTCACCTATAAAAACTCGGGCAAAATTCATTATAATGTAATTAATACTAATTAAAATAAAGTTTTCATATTATTGATTTGTAGTATTTAAAAAAAGCTCATCAATCTTCTTGATAAATAAAAGAAAAAACAAATCTGTAAAAAAAATTATTTAAATAATATAATATTTGGTATTAATAGCTATCAAATATTTTATTATTCAATCTTCTTTTCTTCAAAGAAAGAAAATAAATAAATAAATTAATTAAATACTTTACTAACCAGTACATGTATTATACTTAATCGATGATGCATAACCTTTGTCACAATAACATTCACCATTTGCCATATCCCATGACCCCGTTGCTTTACAAACATATGTTGGTTGTTTGATGCTATCTAAAATTTAAAGTAATATCTAAAAATTTTATAATAAATAATACTTGAAACATAACGTAAAAGCATATTAAAAAAAAATGTAATTTAAAAACGTATTAAAAAAATTAACATAAAACAAAAAATGTATTGAAAGAATAATGTGAAAAATGTCAGGAAAATATTATATACATATATGCATAAATTATATAATAAATAATAGTATTAAATATTATAAAATATAAAAACAAAGTGTTAAAAAAAAATCAAAAAATTTTTGTTCGAAAAAAAAAAGATTAAAAAAAAACCATACCAATCGGTGAAGAATTTGGAACACATTTACCATTTACAGCAATAATTGAATGTGCTTCTGCACCAGTTACTGTCTGTGGATAATGTACAAATGCGCGAGTTATTTCTGGACATACTTCGTAAAAAATCTGAAATTAAATTAAATTAAAAAATTCCTTACCTTTCTGTCCATTTTTTTTTTCTTTGAAAGTCTAAATTAAATTAATTAAATTATAAAAATTCCTTCTTTTTCAGTTTACTTTTCTCGTTTTTGCTTCTATGTAATGATGTTAAAAAAATTAAATTTTATTGAAAAATTTTTGAGCATTTCAAATAAAAAAAAACTGTTGGGACAGAACTTTTTTTTGGTTCATATTAAAAAAAAGTATCACTAAATTGTAAAATTATAAATTATTAGTTTGTCAGCAAGTTTTAAATTGTAAAAAGGATGTACTTCATTTCAAATTCAAAAATGTATAAAGCAAATTTTTTTTCTTTCAAATCATTTGAATTAATTTCAACTTGGTAAAATAATAAATTGTTGTTTTGTATTGTAAAGCAATTGTTTCATTATCTAATTATTTTTTCATTTATTTTATCACTTAAATAGCATACATAAAAATAATTTAAAATTTATCTCATCTGATTTACATAAAATTGAGTGCAATTTAAATCTTGAATATCAGCAGTACTTGATTACTTGTTTTGAATGAAGAAATATGCATGGCAAGGAATGAAAAAATACATAATTTGTTATTATTTAATAATTTATCAAATTACTATTACTTCGCTTTTCTAAAAGTTTTTTCTTCTAAATCTTTAATCTCAAACATAATTCGAGACTAAAAATAATAAAATAAATCAACATATTTGAAAAAAAAGAACTTTGCATTCGAATTTAATTCATTTAACTATTCGTACACTAAAATTTAACCCATTTAATTAAGTTTTCTTTAGCTTTTCCATTTTATTTCCATCATTTCATCCTTATAATGTTAATGAAATTAAATTTAAATTTCGTTTCCCAGTGCTTCATACAAACTCTAAATGATTGAAATAATGCTAGAGAGAGGGAGAAATTCAATGAAAATACTGATGAAATTGCGTGTTGTAATCATCTTCCTCATTGTCCTCTCCTTAGTCTCATTTTATTAAATTTTATTTCATCAATAAAATTCCTAAACTTTCACTATTCAATAATTCATCATCTCTTCAATCTTCAATGATACAATAACTAAAATTGAATTTTCATATTGTTATTAATTTCAAAATGAATAAATAGCATTAATTAATAAAATTTGTTGATTGAAATTCGTGCAAAATTGCAATCATATATTTAAAATTTTTATTATGCAAAAATTAATTAATGAATTCGTATAAACATAAACATGCCTTATTGAATAAGTAATCTTTGTATTTTTGATAATATTTGATGATTGTATATTTTCATCATAAATTTAATTTTTTAAAAAATATTTTCTCGTTTTCATGAATTTTAAATAAAAAATCAAATTAAAAAAAAAGCAATAACAGGAAAAAATTAACAAATAAATGCGGTTAAAATTTTTCTCTCACAAAATTTAAAATATTTTATTTTTTAATTAAAATAATTTCTTTTTCAAACTTTTTTTTTACAAAAGAAGCATTAATTTAAATTGTTAAAAATTATCTTTTCGTTTTTCGTCCTTTTTTTTCCCTTTCATAACTTTCATCTCTATAAAATTATCATCATTTTCTTTCGTTTTTTTTTCATCTCATTAAAAATTTGAACTTTTTTTGCCTCATTAAAACTTTTAGAAATTATTAAAAGAGCATAACAAAAATGTACTGTATAAATGAATTGACAAAATTAATAAAAAGGGAGAATCATTTTGACAAGAATGACAAGGCTCCAATAAATGATGATTTTTATGATCCTGTTTAGCACTACTCTAATTCATTACTGTTGACCTTTAGATGGATAGATGGATAGGTCAATAGAACTGAAACGATCATCATAAAACTATCTTAATTACCCATAAAATTGGTTGTTTCCATTGATTTGTGAAAGAGGGTCATTAAACTCTAAAATTACACTTTTAAAAAGAAAATTTTAATTATTATTTGTTCACTTTTTCGTAATTGCTATTCTATCATTTTTCTCAACATTTTTTTAATATTTAAATTCATTTTTTTTAAAAACTTTTATTATATAAAAACAATAATAACATTTGTGATCTTTTTAAAGGTTTTTTTTTTCTTTGTTTGTTCATATATTTCTTCAAAGAAATATACACAAATAAAGCACATAAGGTCATATATAATATGCTATAAAAGGTTAAAGGTTAGGCATATGTCTCTTTATATTATTTAGCATTGAGGATTGTTATTGTTAAATATCTCAAAAACAACAATGTAATTTTAAAATGTTGTGCCTTTTTAAAACTAATTTTACTTTTCTTTTAACTATTTTTTCCTTATTGTCATTATTTTTAATAATATTTAAATTCATCTTTTCTTCTTAAAATATGTTTTTTTTTTTTTTGAAGTAAGAGAATAATGATAATTTTTAATGTATTTTTTAAATGATTTATTTCAAATTCATTAAATGAATAACAAAATTTTAATTAAAAAAGTCGGTGTGATTGTTTATTTCGCATTCCCATTTTTTTTTTACCTTCTTTAACTTAATTTAATTTCATTAAATTTTGGTCAAAATATACAAAATGATCATTAAATAAAATGGATAAAAAAACTAATTGTACAATTTCTAAAAAAAAATTCTGATTTAAATGAAATTACTGTCATTTTTGTATGAAATATAAGTACACATAAAATTTAGCTTAATTTTTTGATTTATTTTAAAATTCAACCAAGAAATTTTTATCAAATTTTACTTTATTTATTTGCTTTTTTTTTTTTTTTTTTCAATAAATATAATAAAATAATACAAACCTTAACATTAAGTATTGATATACAAGCACCCGAATCACGAAAAGCGAAATATACAGCATCTTTAGTAACCGTGTAGCTACGAATTTCTTGATTTACAGCAGCAGTTGTTGGATCAGATTTCGAATATCGTCCTGTATCAGCCGTTATTCGATCTATTAAATCCCTAAAAAATAAAAGATTAAATTAATTTTTCTTAATTTTGCTTAAATTTTAAATTAAAAATTTGTATAGCATTATTATTTATTTATTTCATTCATTCATCCATATATTTTCTTACACATTTATTTACCTACTTATTGATTAATTAATTTGTTAATTTACTTGTCACCTATTTATTTGTAATTATAATAATAATTATTATTATTGCTATTATTGCATTACCATTATTTAATAATGTCTAAAAACTAAATATGTAAAATGTTAATGCATCGATCCCTCAATTTTGAATATTTTAATTTATTTTAATGAATTTACAAAGTTTCTTCCTTTTTCCATAAAGGATTAAATTTATTTTTCCAAGGGATTATTTAATTTTGTTTAAAAAAATAATTTGCTAAAAAAAGTTTAAAAAATTGGGATTTACTTACCAATAATCAGAATTCCAAATATTTTGATATTTCTCATTATTCATTAGCTGAACACCATATAAACGAAACGTTTCCTTGCATGAACGAGCATTACCTGGGAACTCATTACAATCTCGCATTGTAAATGTTACCTGAAATAAAAACAATTCCCATTAAATGATAAATTTAATAAAATAATTTCAAAAATTACTAGCAAGTTTAAAAAGTAGAAAAATATAGAAAATTTTTTTTCCAAATTAAGAAATTATTTCAAAATAATTTCTATGCAATGTAAAAAAAAAAGAAAACAAATTACTTTTAAATCTTTTTTTTTTATTAAATATGATTAAATTTTGATCAATTTACTATAAAAGATTTTATTTCAATTTAAATAAAAAACTATTAATATTCCAAATAAAATTCTTTCATCTCTCTGTCACCAAAAAACAAAAAAATACTTTTTTTTAGTGCTTTTTTAAAAATGAATTCATCCATTTTAAATTTTTATTTGCTTTCAAAAGAAAAAAATTCAAAGAAAAAAATAAATAATTCAGTCCATAAAAAATATAATTTAAAAAAAGAAATTTCATAAAGATTAAAAATTGAAAAATAACTTTGTCTTCCTTCAATTTTGTAATAAAAATAGAATTTTGATTAAAGTGAAAAAATTTTTCAATTTTCTTCGTTTTTTATTTATATTAAGTTGTTGATTGTAGCAAAAAGCAGGTTTAAATTTTTGGATTAAAATTAATGATTAAAAATTAACTAAACAATTTTAAAAAAGTAAAAATTTCTAATAAAAAAAAAAAAACAAATATCATTAAAATAATAATAAAGAAGAAAAATTTTTTCTTTTGTTCTTTAAATCATATCAATAAATCTGTTTTTTTTTTCCATTTAATTTTATAAAAGAAAAAAAAAAAACTGAAAAGTTAACTCAATAATTAATTAATTAACCTCGACGTGCAAACGATTTGCTCCATTAACATAAATTATTGGTGTTCGTAACCAATTGTCAACATTTTGCTGATCAACGTTACAAACAACGTACGCACGACGATTATCAATACCGTCCGGTCCGCGATACGTTTCTTCAAGCCACTTCAAAATAAAGAAAGTAAGAAGTGGAAGGAATTCAAATAAATTTTTAAAAAATTAAAATTATAACTTCGAATATTTAAAATAATATATGATAACAAAAAAAGAAAAAAAAAGTCTCATTTCATAAATTCATCAAAAAAATAAAAAAAAAATAAATAAATAAATAAAAAAAGAATTTGAATTAAAATAAAAAACGAGCTATTAATATAATTAAAAAATGTATTACAATTAGAAATTATTTGTCATAAATAATTTAATTTTTATTTTTTTGATTTAATTAATATAATATAATTTAAGGAATATTTTACAATGATTATTTCATAATGAATAACAAATTTGTTTTCTTATCATAACATGCATTTACCACTTTAATCCCTTCTTTTTCATATATAAATATTAAAAATGCAAAAGGTAATAACAAAGAGAGAGAGAGAGAGAAAATAATAATTTTGATCCTACAGGTGTGCACGGGTTTTTCCTTCTATTCTCTCTTTTTTTTTGCTTCCTTTTTGTCACATTTCCATTATAATAGTAAATTTGGACATTTGGACAACACAATGCTATTCCATTGGTCACTAATAAGCACTTATAAATAAAAAAAAAAGGAAAGATTTTTCCCTCGCATTCATAAACTATTTTATTACATTTCATTCTAAACTAATTTTAATCAAGAAAGGGTGAAAGAAAGAAAGAGAGAGAGAAGGAGAGAAAAAGAGGAAAAAATGGAGGAAAAAACTAATTTTGCAAAAAATTAGTTTCAAAATATATCCAAAATTTTTTAACATTTTACATGTTAGCTTAACCATTCATAGTTTTGCATTTATTAAAATTTATTAAATTGTATATTTTTACAGATTTAAATTATTTTTTTTCCCAAAAAAATTTAAAAATAAATAAATTAATTGTAATTAACATTCATCCATTTTTTACAATAATTTTTAAGAATGAGAAGAGAAAAAAAGCATTTCCATTCTTGAATTATTTTTGAGTTAATTATTTATAAATTATTCTTCCATGCATCGATTTGTTCATTTTGTCCATCTATTTTATGCATAGATGACCCAACCATTTCATAAGACAATGGTCACTACAGAACACAAAGATACATTCGGGTACACTACTGGTCAATACTACTGGTCAGTCATCTATAAATGACCTCATTAGTGAAATTTCTTAAATAGTTCATTGGTGATAACATTGGATTATTTGTCATTTATTCATTAAGCATACAATTTAAATAATAATAAAATAATTAGCAAAAAAGAATTAATTTTTCTTTTTAAAAATTTTTGTTCGTCTAATTGTTGAATTATTTAATAATGCAATCATTTATAGTGATTTATTCAATTTTTGTGAAAATATAAATGAATGAATAAACAAATAAATAATAAAAATTTCGGATAAAAAGAAAAGGAAAAATTTATGGAATTTTTGAATGCATTTTTTTTTATTATTCATTACTTCACAAAAATTTTTTTATTGTTTCTGCAAAAAAAAAGAGAAAAAAAAAACTGAAAATCTGTCGGAGCAAAAAAAGAGAAAAAGAAACAAGACAGATTCATTGGTTTCCTTTTTTCATTTAAAAAAAAAATTTTGAATGATTTCATTTCTTTACCCAAAATTCATCTATCTTTACATTGTAAAATTTTACGAGATATAATTAATTAAATTCGAAATAAGTTACTGATCGAAATTTTGTTAAAGTTTAAAATTATCATTGCAAATTGTTATCATCATTTTCATACTATTATTTCTTCTAAGTTTAAGAATAAAAATAAAAAAAAATTCCATTCCACCTAATTTCAAAAAATTACTTCCACTAAATTTAAATTGACCTATCTTAGCATTTTCAAATAAAAATTGTTGTCATTGTTGTCGCAGTGTTATTTGTTTATTGTTTGTCACATTGTGATGTTGTCGGAATAATGACATCGAAAATTACAAACAGCGCCAACTACTACCGCCCCTACTATTATTTACAAATCTCATAATGACACTCTAATAAACGTCAAGGTTAATTGACTTATTTAATGGATTCTTCTCTGACATTAAAAAATTGTAAAATAGCAAAATTCAAAAAAGAAAAACAGAAAAATCATGTAAATTATAAAAATCAAATTTATTTCTTAAATTTAATTTCATTAAAAAAATATTATTTTTTTAAATGAAATAAAACAGAGTAAATTTATAAATAAGAATTTTTTTTTCTTTTTTTGCATAAATTATTAAAATTTAAATACTTCCAAGCAAATATATATAAGAATGAAAAATTGTTTCACATATATTTCCTTTGTTTTATAATAAAATTTATTTGCAAATATTTGAATGAATAAACATAACTTACTCCAATTTCATCATCATCCATATTTGAATGCGTTTGCCAACGTAATTCAGTGGTTGAATTTGATGTATCGAGTAGAATAACTAGAAACAAACAAATTAAATTTTAAAAAATTAGAAAAAAATAAGAAAAATAAAATGGAATAAAAATAAAATCTTCCATTAAATTAGATTTGCTGAATAAGACGCAATTTTGTTATCATTTTAAAAAACTTCAATGTTAATAATAATTAGCATTGAGATAAAAAATTTTTAAATGTTGAAATTAGATGTTGAAATTAGCAGAAAAACATCAAAATTCTAAGATTAGGGATAGATTATTATTATTATTACTAATTAATAGTGTAATTATTATTAGTAGTAGCAATAGTGATAACAGTAGCATTATTTCATTATTACTAATTAATACTAATTATTACTATTATTATATATTAATGTAACATAAATTTTGAAAATAATTACTAATTAAATGAATGAAGTATTAGCATAGAAAGGAAATGAATAAATTCTATATTTTCATCAAATCATTTTCCTTTTTTAGCTAATAATGAATTTGACTAAATTTCACAGTCAAAAAATCGTGGTGTAAAAGACAAAAGAATGAAAAAAAAAATAATAAAATGACAAAATTGATGTTTTTTTTTTTTGCAATAAATTATAATTATGAAAAATTTTCCGAAGTATAAATTCAATTAAAAATGTAAAAAAATTGATATTGTCAAGTAATAGGAATGGTGCAAATGATTATAAATTTTAATAATAAATAAAATAACAATTAATTACACAGTAATTAATACTTCATTAACATCGCTTTTTTCTTTTTTCACATTTCATTTTTTGTTCTTTCTTTCTTTATTCCTTCAGAGAATAACAAAAAATGTCGAAAATTTTTTGAAAACAAAAATATGAAAAAAAAAAAAAAAAAGGAAGATCCCTCTGTACGGAATTTTATATTTCAGTATTCAATTTTTGATAATAATTATTTTCCAACAAGCATATTTGATTAAAATGTGAGAATTTCTTAACCATTAAACAATAGGAGCACTTCGGCAAATGAGATAAGTGGATCATTCAGACTTGTTGAAATGTCACCAATGATTTAAAATGTCACCAATTCATGCTAAATTATCCAGCAATAATCACTGATTCTATATTTCTACAGCACATTACGTTATGCCTATCAATTTCCATTACTAATTTTTCTTTCTTTTTGCAAATATAATAAAAACTATTTTTAATAAATCATTATTTCAAAATTTATAACTATTATCCTTTTACAAAATTTTCATCAATTGATTATTTACACTGAAAAAATTTCTAAAATTCCATTTTATAACTTTTTTGAAATTATCTTTATTAAAACTTTAATTAATTTTCTTTTTCTATCGTTTTCTTTTCATTTCACTCAATAAACAGGAAAGGAAAATGTTAGAAATTAAAGGCATTAAGCAAATTAAAAAAACAATAAAAGTTTTTTTAAATTTCTTCTAAAAAAAAGGGAAAGAAACAAGAAAATTTTTGAAGTATAACTTGAAAAAAAAAAAAAAAAAAACATATCAAAATGACATTTAAAACTATTAATTATTTTTCAATCTTCGTTTTTTTTTTCCTCTTAAAATTTCTTTTAGCAATAGTTTTCAAATAGTTACAGCAAAAAAAAAAGCTAAAAAAAGAATGTGCGGAAGAAAAATTAGGACAAACACATAAAAATCGCTACTAACAGATAGGAAAATGTTTTATTTCAAATAAAAAGCATAAAAAAGTTTTCATTTTTTTACGAAAAAGTGAAAAGTAGCGAAAACTTTTCATTTCCATTAAAATTTGCAATTTTACTTTTTGTTTCTTTTAAAACGTTTTCAGTATTTTATTTCGTTTATTACTATTATTATTATTATTGTTTTATCTTTCTTTATCCATAAGTGCCATCATTAAAGTTAAACATTTTGAAATGAAAATTTTTTAAAAAAAAAAATTCAATAAGTATAATCGATAAAGCATTGAGTAAATTAAAAATTTTCCTCTTCGATTTAATTTAATGAATAATGCGAAAAAAAGTTATAGAAAAGTCAAAAGTAAGCTTTTTTGTTTTTTTTTTTTCATATTAAAATACATTCGGTTTGCTTTCTTCTTTTGCCAAAATATTTTCTCATTGTTATGACAAATATTTAATTTTACTAAATTTTATATGAAATAAATTTCAAAATTGAATATTAAAGTAATCAACTAAAAACTAATATAAATGTATTTTAAAAATGCTTAAAATTTCGGCAATATTAAACTGTTTCGAAAATGTTTAAAAATTGTCTAAAATAATATAACAAAAAAGATTTTTCATTAAAATATTCTCTTATTGTTATGACAAATATTTAATTATGAATGAATATTCCATCATTTCTAAGTTCTTTTATTAAATTTTTCGAAGTGTTATTATTTACTTTAGAGATGAATAAATGAATGAATGAATTGAGCTAAACTTTTGATAATAGTCAAACAAAGAGAAACACGGACAGAGAGAGAGAGAGAGAGAGAGAGAGAGAGAGGAGGAATGGAAAGAAAGGAAGCAAATGATAAAAATCCAATGCTTATCATTTTTATTTCTAATAAAGTAATTAATTTAAAATATTAAAACATCTGCATCCATTTGCCATACGGCTAATATGAATAGACAAATCGAATTGAAGAAAAAAGAGCCAAAAATTAATTATTTATTGGTAGTCTTAGACAGCAAATATTACTAATTTAATGTATATTACTTATATTAGTTACTTAATATTACTATTTCTAGTACTTCAACTTCTACTGCTAATGCTACTGTTTATTGATGAAAGGGAAAAAAGTGAGAAGAATTTAAAATATTATCCTAAACTGTATAGAGACAGTTTTTCTTTTTTGGAACTTCAAAAACTGATTTAAAAAAGTTAGAAATTTAATGAAAAAATAAATTTGATGAGAAAAAAAGAGAGAGAGAGAAAAAAATTCATAAGAAAATGAACATAATAAAAATGTAAATTAGTGTTTTATGCAATAAAAAAATATTTAAATTAAATTAAAATTTAAAATTAAAAATTGTAATTTATCATTGGAGACAAAATAGATAAGATTTGTAATTAAAAAATAAAATAAAATTTTTTTTAACACACAATTATCAATAATGCACATACAAATTCTTCTTTCCTTCATTTTTTCTTTTTTTTTTTAATTAAAGTGTGTCAAATTATAATTGAATTTTAGAATGATATTTAAGTTTCATTATAAGACTATAATGAATACGACAATAAAGAATTGCTATACATATCAATTAATTAAATATTGAAATAAAAAATTTACAGTCTTAAAGATCACATATTAAAACTATTAATAAATAAAACCATTAGTAAAATGTTAATATTAAAACTATTAACATACATTAATATTAGAACGTACTATATTAATATTAAAAAATAATAGCAATGTTTAAATTATTTTTTAAAATATAAAATTAATGCTAAAATGGATAAATATTAATTTGCACCGAAAATTTTACTATCATTTCCAACATTTGTCCAACTATTGCTATTCAATTAAGCAATTTATCATTAAACTGACAATCCTTTTCGGTAAATGAATGATAAATGAATGACTGTTACACAGAAGTGAAAAGAAAGCCGATCATGATAAACATTCTTTATGAACTATTTACTGATAAGAATAATCACATCAATGAATTATTACGATTATAGTGAAAGGAATGATAGTGAAGATAATTATTATCTTCTCTATCAAACATATAAATTATATAATTATTTCTTGTTTCAATTCAGTGATTGATTATCAGTAGTATCACTGCTAACAGTATCACTTATGATAAGATTTAAATGTTATCATTATTAACATTTATAGTATCATTTTTGTAAACTTTTAAAGGCATTCACAGTATTATTCTTATCATTCCTTTAATATTATCATATCTCCTTCCTATACTCTATATTTATTTTAAATACCATTCTTATCATTATCAATGCAAATTATTTACTAGATATAGTGATAGGAAGAAGAGTAAAGCATATGCATAATGTTTATTCCAAATATTTGATCTTTTTAACTATCTTTCCTCTAACCTTTAACCTTTCAAAGTGGTCAACTGAAGATGACATTATTATTTATCATTATTATTTATTATTATTGTGAAATATATCAAAAACTTTTTTAGCAAATAGAATTCTTTTCAGCAAAATAGAATCAATCTAATATAAATTAACATTGTCCAAATTTTTCGTCTTAATTAATTGGAAATTTGTGAAAAAAATTGTAATGAATTATTGTTCATCATATTGCTAAATAATAATGATAAAAAAAAAATAATTAATTTAGCCTAATATAAAAGAAAATAAAAAAGTTTTAATTCTAAAATTCCCAAAATATGCTTTTGCTTGTTTTGTTATCTTTCAAATTTTTCAAAGAATTTTTTTTTCCTTTTTAAGTAAAATATCATTCAGTACATTTTAATGTGATTTTCATTCTTTCCTTTTTTTTTTAAACTTTTTATCCATTCTTTCCCATCATTTTTTCTTCAATTTCCACTTTTCCCACTCATAAATTTTCTACATTTATTCCAAAAAAGCAAAAAAAAAAAAACAACAAAAAAATTTTTTTCATTTTGAAATAAAACAATTAGCCAAAAGTTATAGAGAATTAAACTTTCTTCTCTTCTACATAGCACCTGAAAAAGAAAAGAGGCATATGACTAGAAATGACCAAGTATATAAGCTAAAAGAGCCAAGGAAGTATATGATTAAAAGTTGGCCAAATATCATATCAGTACTTTTATCATATAATGAAGCTTAAAAAAAAGTTGAAACTTTGAAAAATATTTAAAGCATTTTATCGAACATTTCCTAATTAATCAAAACATATATTTTACATTTAATCATTCTTTCTCATTTTATTACAAATTAGAATTAATTAAATTTAAAACTTATCACTTTTTCTGTTTCATCCTTTTTTTCTTCCTATAATTTGATGTTTGCGTAAAAATTTGAATTAAAT